AAAATTAGAAGTTCAGTACAAATGACCTCTGAGGTCCCTTTCAGCTCTAAATCTATGGTCTTGAGATCCTGTGATACCTAGAACCATTCTATAGCATACAATAGAGGCATTTGATGGGGGGTAGTAGATCTGTGATTTCTTTGGTATAAGAAAGTCTTATATTAAAGGGAGATGGTATTGGTGGACAGAGAGCAAACCACTGAGTCAGGAAGACCTGGAATCAAATGCTGCGTCTTAATAATAATAATAATAATAATAACTAAGTACCAACCACTGCGCCAAACTCTTTACAATTATTATCTCACTTGAGCTTGAAACAATCAGCCACTATTAACAGTTAAAACATATAGTGTTTTCTGCATGCTAAGCACTTTATAATTATCTCATTTCATCTTGAAAGTTAGTAATAACAATCATAAAAATAACTAACATTTACATAGCTCTTTCTATGCGCCAAGCCCCATGTTAGGTGCTTTGCAATTATTATCTTATTTGATCTTGAAACAATCAGTCAATCAAGCAATAAACATTGAGCACCTATTATGCGCCAGGAGCTATGCAAAGTGCTGGCTTGGTAACAGTCACTTAACAACAACTACTAGTACTACTACTACTAGTACTACTACTACTAGTACTCCATCTTCTTTCCTCTCCCTCTCCCTCTCCCCCCCCCTTTGAAAATTTTTCTAGTTTTCAAATAAAAGCCTCCATTATATTTACCACAATTTCTTTCAACCACCAACTCTGGGACTTCTGGGTTCTTTTCCTCATTGCCGAGTTATGTGGTGCTGTGTGTTTCCCTATGAATCATACAAATCTTTGAGCAGAAGGTGACTAGAACATCAGTAATTTTGTACAAAGTATTAAGATAACACCAAATGTCAACATGGGGTAATGCAGAAGTATCGCAAAACTCCAGAGTCTAACCAGAACCAGATTAAAATCCAATTGGGAGATATTTAATAAAATAAATAAAAATATAAAACAACACAGATAACAACAGTAGGTGGTTTTCTAGGTCAATATTCTGCCCACAGGCATCCTTAGATATGGTTTAGTGGCCCTCATTTCTATTTTAGTTTAACACCCACTAGTATAGTGGCTAGAGAGCCAGCCTCAAACTCTAGAAAACCTGGCTTCAACTTCTCCTTCTAACTCCTAATGGCTGTATGACCCTAGGTGAGTCGCCTTAACTCAATGTCCCCAGGCAACTCTCTGAGACCATAAGTTGAAGCAGGTGTCAATCAGCATTGGTCGAAGGAATTTCCTCATTGGGAATTCCATATACCAGTGAAATCACAAGGCTGGTCTGGGAAAAAGATGAAGAAAACACCCCCTCCATCTCAGGAATTGTTATCATCCAGTTTACAGGTGTGGAAATTGAGGCTCACAGAGGTTAAAAGACTTGTTCCAAGTCATACAGTTAGCAAATTTCAGACAATAACCCACTTTAACACTGGATTAGGAATGAAAATATTGAGGTTTGAATGATGGTTCTGCCACAAACCAGCTACATGATCTTTATCCTCTCTGGGCCTCAGTTTCCTAATTTCTAAAATGTATGATTTGGACTAGATTCCCCAAGAATCTTCCAGCCTGAACTCTATAATTTTTAACAAATAAAATTTTGGAAATGAGGGGTATTGACAATGGATTTAGGGAAGGGCAGACATAGCTGAGACCATGCACAAGACATGAGTTCTGCTAGCTTCACCCATACCTAAGTCATGGAAGAGAAAGTATTTAGGCAAGGTTACCAGCCAAATCAGGGCTAGTAGGTGGCTGTCAAAACCAGCAATCCTTTGTGAGGTTCACTATGCAGTGTATGACAGGGCAATAGGGCCTGTAATGCCCGCAGAATTTCTTTGCATAGAGCTGAAAAACAAGTCTATTAGCTATGTAAATATATTGCACTCCTTGCACTGATCTCAGACTCCCTTGTGTATCCTCCAGGCACTCCTGGCTTTGGTGGCATGTCATCCTGCCCCTCCATATTCTCCTATATGTTATTCTGTGTGGCTCTTGCTGTTCTGCCCTCAAAGAGACAGCCAAGAAGCCTTTGTAGTACGCCTGCATCGCCCCAGGTTGCCCCAGGTTACCCGTAGCTTGATGTACATAAGTGCTGTGCTGTTTTGGGATCTGGACACCAAATGAGGGATCTGAATAAAGATGACAGACTGAGCAGATTGGTCAAGTTTCTAATGCTCTGAGACTGAACTCATCCTCTCATCTCTAGGAAGTGTATCCAATGGCTAAAGAAATGATTTCATAATAACATTATCACCTTCTTGGCAAAGAAACCTTGAAATCCCTGGGGAAGGCACGCTAAACAAAGAATAGTTCGGATAGGCTCTGAGACCTCAGGGACTTGTATTTCCTGGTTCATTATTCAAAAGTTTCAAAATCATGGATAAATATATGATGATGGAAGGCAGAGCATAACAGAGGAAGAGAGGTCTAGTACAATATGAAATCATTCCACTTTCTGTAGGCAGGGGGAGGCAGAGTACACATCAAATATGAAAGTGGTGGTTGGAGCATTCTTTGGGTGGCTATGGCTTTAGCAGCAATGACAGCCCATGTAGGCTGAGACGCTGAAGTGTACCTTCCCCTCAAAGAGGAACTACCTCAGCATAACTTGAAGACATCCCAGGAACTACCCGTAGTCCTGATACCCACAATGGAGGGCCAAGAAGCTGAGAAGCCTCCAGAGTGCTGGGGTTTATTGAGTGAGAAGGGAGTAGATTAGTCCCTGTGCTACCAGAATTATGATCACTTCATCAAGCGTCTTCCCAGGAAAATACCACCCTATCAGCAATTGAAGTATTAAATGAGTCAAAAAAAAAGATGAGCCTTGTAGTAAGCCTGTGTTGGAGAATTATGAGAACAGGCTCTTTCCTTCCATCATAGTCTCCAGAAGGGATCAGTTGTATCCTTTGGACTCAAGAAAGTGAAGTGAGCTACATTACTGTGCTGACTTAAGAGAACTCAAGAAAAGAACCACCCAGTCCACCACTGTGATCTGCTCCCCCTTATCTCACAAGGTCTAAGATTGACTTAGGGTCTATATATTCATGTCAAAATGAGTTTATAGGAGGCTTATAACTTTGGGAGGCTTAAGATTTGCAAAGATGGCCTTCTATGCTAGATTTGGACCCTATAGATTTCAGGTTGGTCTTGTGAAGCTGGCCTAATGCTCTGGCCATATTTCAGCACTTAATGATCACTGACATCCTGGACCAATTTTTTGTGACCTACCCTCAGAATATTCTCACATTTTCATGACATGAGCAGAACATATCTCTAACATAAGGAAAAAGCACAAAATCTTTGCACCATTTTCTTGGTACTGCCAGAAAGGGAATCATATGAATAAAAGAGCCTCTGACCAGGATTTGAAAGAAAAGGTACCAGATACCAATGAGGACAGAGCAAGAAAGGGGTATCTGAGGACTTGACAAAGACATTTACGATGCCACCATATTGCTAAAACACCCTGACCTTAAGGGTACATTTTTACAGAAACTGGTTTATGTTGAGTAATCACTGGGGCATTATTGACAGAAGACCTAAACCCAGAAATCATATGACTACCTACCACCTAATAGACATTCATGCAAAGAAACATCATAATAATAGAGTTAATGCAACCGAAAACCTGGAGAAATGGGGACTTCATATGGAAGACATGACATTCAATGACAAACCTGACAAATTGTGAAAAAAAATTAGTGTTTTAGAGAAATGATCATCTTATCTGAGTTTCATGTATGTATAGTGGGTCTATATCTTCTTCCCATTTTTCTATTCTAGGTCATTCTTGTAGCAGGAATTTAAAATTCTCTTGGTAAATATTTTGTCTCAGATCATGAACTTAGAAAAACTTATGTAAGGTATAAGGGTAAAGTCATCATTTGTGATTAAGTATTCATATCAGCTAAATTCTATATCACATACATCAAGAAAACATGGAAAACAGAAGTCTCGAGAATTAAAAATGAGTATCACACAGAGGGAAATGGAAATACACATGGTTGGTGTGATCAGGATACACCATATAACAAATAAGAAACTTGGAAGAACAATAGTCATTATCTCATCGGAGAAATGTAAAAGTGATAAGGAAGATGGGCATCTGATCACTTGGCAAGGATGAAGTCCAAAAGCCTTGAGTACCACCACTGGTATCCTTGTGATGTCAAAAGAAAGCTAGGAAGGCCTCTAGCATGATGAGTGGACCCTATGTAGCAGACGTGCGAGAGGATGCAGACAAGAGTCTCATAGAAGGAGTAGGCATGGATGGGTTGTAACCTACATCATTAGTGGGAACTCCCAAATTGATGAGATCACAGAACCATTCACGTATTTCAGTACACTACCCAACTATTTATTTTATCCCTGGTTATTAGACATCCGATTCTTCTCCTTCACTTGCTTTTGCGTGGAATGTTATTCCCCTCCTCTCCTACAGTCTTATAAGGACTATCCTTAAGGAACTCATTGCTTAGTACAGCATCTTAAAGTCAAATGGATTCATAAAGTGGATTAAATTACAAATCACGAAAAATATGAATTTGTAACAATAATTTGAAAGATCAAATTACTCTCAAAAGTGATATACTTCTGTGTAAAGAAGAATGCAAAAGTGTGTCTTGGGAAAGCATGAATTTGGAAAACTTTTTAAAGAGTTACCAACTTACACTTAATACCACCAAGTGATTAAATACACTCCTAACACATGTATAATTCAGTTGTAATGGATTATACATGACAAAGTAAAGGGGAAAGTCCTAAATTTCAATAAAGTGAAATTTCAGAAGTGAAACTCATCTTCTTCCCTGCTCCTGAAACAAGAGGGATTTGGGCCAAAAGCCTCAACTCTCTCTTTCACTTTTCCTGTTACTTTCTTCTTTGTGAAAATCAAATATCTTATTAATGATGAAAATTAATTCCTTTCTAATGTTCTTACAAAACCTTTTTTTTTTCAATGAACCCCTCAGGTATATCAATATATGCACGAAACCATAACGGTGAACGGCTGCCCGGAGTTCCGTGCCAGGGCCACTGCAAAGGTAAGCCTTGTGCAGCTTTAAAAATATACTCCACCCCAGTGATCCAGTAATTGACTGTGCGCGTGTGTGTTTCAGGTATTCTCGTGTGTACACTGTAAGAAAATTTAGACATCAGTGGCAGCCCAGAGTCTAGACCAGTACTGCTTCCCAGGTAAAACTCCTAATGGAAAATTCAACGTTTCTGCTGCTTCTGTAGCTTAACAAAGGAGAATGATTTCATTGAATTCACTGAACGTCAAGCAAAACTACTGGCTCATTGTATGAGATACTCCATGGTTTTCTGATATTGTTCTAGGACAATAGGGCCTGTTCAGTGCATGGGGGATTTCTCTGCATAAGGCTGAAAAATGAATCTATTAGCTATGTAAATGTATCACACTCCATGCATTGATCTCAGACTCCTTCTGGGTATCCAGCCAGGCTCCGTGTATCATGGTCATTGAATGGGGTGGGCACCCAGAGGGGGAGCCCTGACCATCTTGAGACCTAAGAGGACTGGCTTGCTTCTCCTACCACATTCCAGGGACCTTTTTTTCCTTTGAAACTCAGAACCAGAGATATCAGAGGCTCTCTTACCAGGAACCTTACAAGAAAATTTAAAAATGAACATTCAGTATTCTGAAAAATAAAGCATTAGTAAACCATGACCTTCAAAATAATTTGAAACGAACCAAGCCTTTTAAAAATTCAGCATATTTTAGAAAAGGTATGCATTTTTTCCCCAGGAAAGCTAGCTGTCTGACAAGGCATAAATAGCAAGAATTTTCTCCCTATTAATTCTTTTCTGCATTTCATCATCTCTTATCTGAGAACTAACCTTCATCTGGTTTCTCTCATCTCCTTTTTGCGGAGCCTTTATATTCACATTCAAAAATTTAAATGAATGCTGTAGATCCATAAGGTGTAGTCGAGCAAATACGGAATATCACTCTCATTAGATCGTGTTTTATTTATGTTGAGATGGAACACAAAAACATGTTTTCTATGTGGTGTAATTAAGGTTGCCAAGAATTATGTACTGCTTTACCATTCTCATTTCTTATTCATGTAGAACAGCAGGAGAGCAGCACCATGTTGCCAATAGCACAGAGTATTTCCTGGTTGTCTCTGGGCTGTCTGCACCGCATCCCTGTCAGCCACTTAACCCATGCACGATGGCGAGGTCTGCATGAGCCAAAGCATGCAGCTGAAAGCGAGCCACTACTGTCATATCATTCACTCCCTGTCACTAAATGAAGACATTAGCATAATGCTAAATTGATGTTAATGAGATCAGGTGGGGGAAAGAACGTTAAATAGCAGGGATCGATATTTTACAAATGTTTAATAAATCACTCCATAGTGGACAGGTAATCAAAAGGAAGTTATGAAGGGCAAATAAAAGTGAAAATCTCTTTTCTTGAAAGAAACTTTTCTTATTTTCAGGTAATAGGGTTTTAGATTCCTGGCTGGAAGGCACCTCTGAGGCCATCTCATCCAAACCTCTCAGTTTTACAAATCAGGAAACTGAGTTCTAGTGAAGTAGAAATGACTGGCTTAGGGTCACAAAAAGTTAGTGGCAGAGTGGATGGTGGAGAAGCACTGGATTTGGAGACAGGCAGAACTGGGTTTGAATCCTGTCTCTTATACTTATACTTCGTATACTAAGTATATGCCTAGTATATACTTAGTATACGAAGTACGATAATATAATACTATAATATATAATATATAATACATATGTATACACTAACATATATGTATACATAAAGTATACATATACTTTACTACCAAGTATATGGGTACATTTAGTGTCTGAGTCTTCAGTTTCCTCATTTGTAAAATAAAGTAATTTGGACTTGGCAGCCTCTTAGGTTTCTTCCAGATCTAAATTGATGACCTTATGAATTGACTTTTTATCAAAAGTAGCAAAGTTAGGGGCAGCTAGGTGGTGCAGTGGATAGAGCACCGGCCCTGAAGTCAGAAGGACATGAGTTCAAATCCAGCCTCAGACCAAACACTAGACACTTACTAGCTGTGTGACCCGGGGCAAGTCACTTAATCCCAATTGCCTATGAATAAATAAATAAATAAAAAAAAATAAAAAGTAGTAAAGTTAGTTTATTATTTGAAGTTATAAAAAATGATGAACATACTGGAAAATGTAAAAGATAAATAATAAATATGCATTCAATTATTACAATAATTGTTGCTCAGAAAGAGAGGTCAGGGTATTAACTTTTTCCCTATTTTAGGTAATATCTGAAAGCTGCTCCTTTTGCTAAATTCATTATAGCAAGATGGGTGAAAATATTTGAAAATGTGGGGGGGGGGAACTCAGAGCAGATTTATATCGTATAACATTACATAATAACATAAAGATGCCAGACTTATCTTATCAGAGGCCATGTATGAGTCCAAATTGATTTCAAATAAATCTGAAGTGTTTGAATCCAGAGATGTTTTAAGTGGTAATAGTTCCTATAGGCATCGTTAGTATTTACCAAAAAGGTGGGGGAGGAATGAAATTTACTAAATTAATAATCTGGGAAAGTCAGTAAAACGTACAAGTTATACATATTTAGTTCCTTCATACAGGACTTCTAGTGAGCCCAAATTAATTCCAAGTAAAACTGAAGTATTTGAACCTATAGATATTTTAAATGGTGCCAGTTCCTATAGACATAATCAGTGTTTGCCAAAAAGGTAGGGGGGATGAAATATAGTGAATTAATAATCAGGGGGCAACTAGGTGATGCAGTGGATAGAGCTCCAGCCTTGAAGTCAGGAGGTCCTGAGTACAAATCCAGCCTCAGACACTTTACACTTACTAGCTGTGTGACCCTGGGCAAATCACTTAACCCCAATTGCCTCACCAAAAAGCAAAAAAACAAACAAAAAAAATGAGTCTGGGAATGTCAGTAAATGGTATAACGTATACACATGCATGCACATATATGTATATATACATGTACACATATGCACATATACAAATACATACCTGTATGTGCAAATACAAATACATGTATACATGCATGTGCATATATGCATAAACATACATGTATGTGTGTTTATGCAAATGTATACATGTATGCGTGCATGTATGTGTATACATAAACATGCACATATAGACACACACATAATTCATTCACTCATTGCTTCTAGTGGGATGCCTAGCTGGATTCAAAGAGCTCACTGTTTACTAGGAGAGATAAGACAGCTATCTCAATAAGAGGGAATATGTGATGTATCATGTGAGGAGAAATCAATTCTAGCTATGGTAATTAAGGACAGTGTCATGGTGCCTTTTGATATGGGCCTGGAGTGATAAATCACAGATTTAGATATGTCAGAGACCATTGAATTCAACCTCTTCATTTTACAGAGAAGGAAACTGAGACCCACAGAAATGAATCGATTTGCCCCAAAACACAGAAAGAGAACACAGAGGAGCCCAGGATTCAGACCTCAGCCCTTTGCCTTCCAGTCTAATAGTTTTCCCACCATACAATTCTTCCTCAAAGGGTAGACTTTTTGTAAGCAGAAAAAAAGAAGGTAAGGGAACTGAGGATATTGGTGGAGAAATCCCAATGCACAATTGGTATCTAAATAGTGAAAAGTCACATTCCTTCCCTTTCTTTCCCAGGATAATGCTATCCTAGCTTGAATAGCTGCTGTTTACCTGCTATAAAACTGGTACCCTGGTTTGCATTTAATCTCATTGCCAAATGACCATCTTGTCTTTCAGGCAACAGTCGCAGCTTTTGCAGCTAGTGAAGGTCATTCCCATCCTCGAGTAGTGGAACTACCCAAGACTGATGAGGGCCTTGGCTTTAATGTGATGGGAGGAAAGGAACAAAACTCCCCCATTTATATCTCTCGCATCATTCCCGGAGGGGTGGCTGAAAGACACGGAGGCCTCAAAAGGGGAGACCAGCTGCTGTCAGTGAACGGAGTGGTATGTTCTTATGATTACCTTGGATTTTCTCTGAGCATTTCCCTCCCTTCCTTCCCCAAATCTCCCATGGAATTATTACAGACACCTCTGAAATCCTAGTATATCCTGTTGACTGGAGCTAGAACTCCTCGCATAGACAACAATTTTGTGTGAAATAAGTGAGGACAGTAAATGCTTAACGATAACTTTATGGTTTGCCTCTCCCTTCGCTTCTCATTCGACTGCATAAGAACTTGAGTGAGAGAGTGTCTCTGTATATGGAATTTCTTTCTTTACAATCCCCTCACTAAGCCCGAGTTTGATAAATGGCAGATTTTTTTTTAAACAGAAATACATCCAAATACTATAGACCCAGGGTACTTAGACACAAGTCTTTGGCAGTTTGGTGAAACACAAATACTACTCAGAATGATGCTGGTTTTTTTTTTTTAATATTGAAGGAAATTCTAAATTACAGTTAGAAATCAGTGAAAATAAAGACTTTTTTTCCACATCTGAGTTCACAGATCGCCTGAAATCTATCCACTTGGGGGAGGCAATCTGAGAATTCCTGATCAAGAACTCCTACTCTAGACAAATATACATTTTTGAAAGGGTTCATTTAAGATGATGGATTTCTGTCTATGTTAAAAAGCAAGAGAGTAGTCTTAGTGTCCTGAAGGGACAACATATATAAAAATGGCAAATATGGCAGGAGACTTTCTTCAATCGGATTATAGTACTTAATCTTCCACCAGGTTCTTCCCCTGGTGTCTCATGATTTGGAGGGAGTTTGGTTTCCTGCAGGTTATATCAGCAGAACACAAGCTCTGGCAAAATTTTGACATTGTGTTTCTAGTTTGGGAGGGCCATACTTCCCAAATTCCAAGAGGCACATTTCCAGATGGTTGACCACCAGGTGGTTAATTTTTCCAAACTTACTCATGAGGATTGCTTAATAAGGCTTGAAAGGTGTAGAATGCCAGTGGAGACAGGATCTATCCTGGTAAAATTATGGGTTTGTTGAAGTTTAAGTAAAAAATAAAGTAATTCTACTTAATATTGACCTGCTTTCAACCCAGACAAAGATACTAAAGAGAAACTATGTTATGTAAAAGTGTCAGGTATTTGTCAATATATATACAGGTGGCATCTACTTTTTTAAAAAAGTTTTCAATTAAAAAGCATTTTTTTCTCTCCCTTTTCTTTCTTCCAACCTTAAAAAAAAAGAAAAAGAAAATCTTTGTAACAAATTACAAACCAAAATGTCATTTAAAGCTGTGGGGTGGGAACTCAGAAGCCAAGTTTTTGTGGTTGTTACCAAGATGCACAGTACACACTATGGCTCCCACAATTAGCAGAGCACTCGATGATTATCATAGTTTTTCTCATCATTTTCACAAGTACCAAGCATAAATCTACTGACAAAGATGAGAGAAAAAGGAGGATGAAAAATCTGCTACTTACATCTTGGCTGTCTTGCTTAATGAACTTGAGATTTCAATAACAAAGAACAGAGAAGTTGTCCAGTTAATATTTCCTGTTTACAAAGTTCAATAACAAAGAAATGAATAAGACACAATTAAAATCTGGTATTACACAGGGTGTCCCAAAAGTCTTAGTGCATCTTTAAATGCTTAAACGGGCATAAAGACTTTGGGGATGTTCTATGATTTTTTTCAGGTGTAGTTCTTTTCTTTTTAACATAGGGGAACAAATCATAAGACTCTGGCATCCTAAACTATTCAGGATTTCAGTGCTGTGTCACATACATCAAAACTGCAATCCCTCATTCCCAATTACAGAAGAGGCTGGTTTCATTTAATTTGACAGGAAATTTATTTCCTGTTTTGTAAGATCATGTAAGATGATGTTTTAAAATTTTTAATCGATCTCTGAACACCCCTGAATTTTCAAAAGCAAATTTTAACTGATGATTTCAGAGTTGAATTATTTTGTCCAAAGATAATAATGGAAGGGTTGCTATACTTGGTCAGACAGTTTTTAAGGCAAATTTTGTGTGAATGTCTGAAAATGTTAATTATGTGCATATACAGAGAAGATTTAAAAAAAAAAACTATCATCATAATGACTATGGAAAAATACAGGAAAAAAAAAAGAAGTTTGGCTATTTCTTAATCCACAGTCCTAGACTACTTAGAGTAATTTGAAGGATAAGAATCACTAGCAAAAAGGAATAGATGTGATAGCCACAGGTACTGAGTGATATAAACTCGTTCAGGTAGATGGAAACTCCGAGGTCACCGAACGCATTGTCATTGTAGATGACTATTACTCCCAGCTCCAAGCTTGAACCTCCCAGACACATAAAAATCACACAGGTCTAGCAGACAAGAGGTGTCAATCGATTCCATATACCTCACTGTGCATCCTGCTGAAACTGTGAACCCCGAGTAGCTCCCCACCCAGGAGAGAAATTTGGGCTGGAGAACAGAGCTAAATGGGTGGAAGGATAGGGTCAAACCAGGCCAATTCCCTGGTCCCCAAGCTGTGCCTTCTGCCTCTAATAGGAAGGGCAGTTTATATACTGACCACAAAACAAAAAGAGCACATTGTGTCCAGTTAGCTAGAGTCAGATGGACAAGCTTTATTTCCAAACGCAGTAGATAAAGCACTGGCTTTGGAATCAGAAGACCTCAGTTCAAATTCAGCCTCAGACACTTAGTACATCTATGACTCTCACAGCTTCAGTTACCTCATCTTTAAAATGGGGATAATAATAGCTCCCTTTCTCAAAGGCTTATTATAAGGATCAAATTAGGAAATGTATGTGAAGTGTTTCATAGATCTTAGTTAGGAAGCACAGTGGATAGTTGGGCCTGGAATCAGGAAGACCTGAGTTCAAATCTGGCCTCAGACACTTACTAACTGTGTGACCCTGGGCAAGTCACTTAACCCTGTTTGCCTCAGTTTCCTCATCTGTAAAATGGGCTAGAGAAGGCAATGGCAAACCACTCTAGGATCTTTTCCAAGAAAACCCCAAATGGGGTCACAAGGAGTTGGACATGACTGAAAATGACGCAATAATAACAAGAAAATGCTTTATAAATGCTAGATGTTACTAGTGTTCTTTCCTATACTAGTTTGTGTGTTCACAAAAGATTATTCCTTTAGGAATGATGGTGGTTTGGGATCCTTGTCAGGTACCCTCCTACATCCACCATTTTTATACAGGCGGAGTCTGCTTAGAAACAAATCAAAAGCAGCCTTGAAGGCAAAAAGAGATAACGAATGAATAACACAAAGCATGTGCTGGGTGGTCATTAGATCATAGACCGAGAGTTAGGAAGGACTTCAGAGGTCATATAGTTCAACCACCCTTATTTTACAGAAGAGGAAGTTGAGGCCCAATGAGGTTCAATGATTTGACCAAGGTCACACATATAAGAAATAGCAGAACCAGTACTGGAACCCATGATTTTTGGCTCCAAATTCGGCCCCCTTTCCACAAGACCTCCCTCCCCTTTTACAAACCTTGGAGCCATAGAGTATTTATTGTATGCTCCCCTGGAGTCCGATGAAGCAGGTGGAGTTGGGATAAGGTTCAGAGTGTGAAGGATGGAAAAGTTAGATTTTGAGTGATTGACATTGAAGCAAAAAATGATGTATTAGCCCGATTGTATGGAAGAGGAATTGCATGTGGGAGCAAATGATTTAGAGCTCAAATCCTAGTCTGCCACTTATTACTTATATGATCTTGGGCACAAACTCTCTCTATGCCTCAGTTTCCTCATATGTAAAATGAGGGGTGGAGAAAATAGATTGCCTCTGAAGTCCTTCCTGGATCTAAATCTATGATCCTAAGAGTATGACGTGGATGGCTGGGGGTACACATTTGGGTGTGGGTCTCCAGAGATCATCCCTCAGTTAATTTGTTATTTGATGTTGGGGGGGTGGAGGGAGCATGGAGGTCAACACCCTATACTAATCCATCTGGCAAGATTGAGATACTTGATCTTCTAATGGTCAACCCTCTCATTACACAGAACGATTACAAAGGGGTTGTTAGGGATCCCCACAATGTCTTCTAGTGATCAAATAATTCCCATTGAGTAATTTTAGAATTTATGGGGCTGAAATGATGGCAAAAAAAATAGAGATAACTATTAATATAGTTCTGAAACACCAATTGTATCCTCACTAAAAAAAAAGCATTCCTTGGACAATGGGAGTGAAAGGATGGGGTGGTAAGTGGATTCAGATACCGGTTAGTGATTGAGTACATGAGTTAGTGTGAGTAGGTCCTTAGTAAACTAACTGCATTCTCAAAATAGAGAGTAAATTTTAAAAGTAATAGTTGACATTTATAAAAACTTTAGGATTTGCAAAACACTATAAATATTATCTCCTTTTATCCTCACAACAATCCTGGGGGGTAGGTGCTATTATTATCCCCATTTTATAGATGAGGAAACTAAAGCATATAGCTGTAAAGTGATTTGCCTGGAGTCACTCAAAGAGGAAGTATCTGAGGGAGGATTTGAACTCAGTCCTTGTTGACTCCCAAGTTCAGGGTTCAATCCACTATCACTACACCAACTAGCTGCCAGGGTAACCAAGAGCTAAGACCCTGAGGGGGAAAGTAAGGCAGCACATAGCCCCTTAAACTACTATTTTAAAAGATGAAAGATGAGTTTATAAGTCCCTACTTAAAGCTTCCCTTATACCAAAGTAGTTTTTAATCTACTTTTTTTTTTTTTACATAGAATTGGCAGAAAAAATCTTAGGCAAAGGCAAAATCTTAAAGTGGGCAAAGTTTATCCTGGGCTGGTAAGTGGCATAGAGTGCTGGGTCTGGAATCAGAAGGACCTGATTTCAAATTCAGCCTTAGACACTTACTAGCTGTGTGACAAGTTGCTTAACAAAAGTTCCTGGGCAAGTCACTTAACCTTGGTCGGCTTCAGTTGCCTCAACTGTAAAATGCGAATACCACCACCTATCTCCCAGGGTTGTTGTCAAGAATGAGATAATATTTGTAAAGTACTTGGCACAGCCTACCA